TATATGAGAGGCAGACAAGATCTCAGCAGCTCTCATGGGCAGGGCCCTCCTTACCATCTTGTCTTGATTTGTATTGTAACTGTAATTTCCTTCTTATATTGTAAAGCACTGCGCAAACCACTTGAAATACAGTAATCTCAACAAAATGAGTAATGGTATGTTTGAAATATGTCAAATGGACACATTTATCCGCGACCCTTTAAAACTTCATAGGTGAATTTTGCTAAAAGGATACTTATCAGACATGTATTCTGTTATACCAGCAACGAGTTTATCAGTAATTTTATTTTCAGCTCTAGTCTGCCCTCTGCTGGACATTCTAAAAACAAGCGGTGAGGTCTAAAGTAAAATGCCATCTGTTTTCGCTTAATTGAAAATATATATTGTGACAGTTTCACTATTTAAACAACTGCTCCTCTTGATTTCTCCACTCATTTTTGCTATATTTTGGAGGTGACAATTAGCATGAAAAACCTACTTTATGGAAACATTTGATCAATCTTGAAAAATATTTTGTCTTTGTCTTGCTGAAAATCTCAGAGAATTCATCCATGCTAAACCAGATGTCATGCACGGTCAAGAAAACAGCATAAATATCTTTAATCAAGGCTTTGCAGTTGACTTTAACATTACACATTTATGAACTATAGGAAGACCTCCAATCAGGTTCCAGAATCTCAGAATGGCATGCTCTTGTTAAAGGGACTGATTTCTTTTGGGGCGAAATGAGGGAAGTATGCAGAAAACCGGAGTTAGTATTAGGGCTTAAGTTAGATTTAGGTTTATTTTCAAGCTTAGGATATGTGTAAGGGGTGGGGGGTTATTGTTTTATTTTCAAGTGCTCACTTAGTTGCATGTTACGGTAGGGGTTCATTTTGGATATTAAGTGTTGAGATATGAAAGTTAAAGTGACACTGAACTCAGGAGTTAAACCTTAAAAATACATTCAAGTACCTTAACTATTAACAAAAAATGTATCTAAAAAAGGTGGTTTTCGAACATGCTCGAAAGACAAAAGCCGTGCGACTGTACAGTAGAAACGGTCGCACGTCTTCCACACACCTTGCGATAATTGTACGATAATCGCAGGAAATCCCGCGATCGAACAATCGTATGATTATCGCAAGGTGTGTGGAAGACGTGCGACCGTTTCTACTGTACAGTCGCACGACTTTTGTCTTTCGAGCATGTTCGAAAACCAGCCGAGAATCGTACAATTTTCGGCTGGTTTGTAGCATGATCGTGAGAGAACTGCCGCACGGGCCGGTGTGCGCAAGCGCACACTGACTGTTCAGCGTTGCGGTCATCGGAAGCCTGCCCCTCAGCGGGGCGGGCTAGCGATTATCGTAAGTATGATCTGCCTGTCCATGATGGGCAGATCGTATGTTTTTTTAATTACCTTACAACCATCGCAAGACGAAAGTCTTGCGATGGTTGTAAGGTGTGTGGCCAGCTTTATTTGTGTATCACTCGGCTGTAGATCCTCAAATCATCTTTGAATTGGTGCCGACACTGTCCTTCCTTCTGGAGGGTGGCTACTTTTGTTCCCCATGGTCTCTGTGTGTTGTAAAGTAGCCACCACTCCAAGCTCACTCCTGTGATGGACTACAATCTCATATTAAGTTTACTAGTTTATATTGAAATTATAGTCCATCATGGGAGAGAGCTTGGAGGGGTGGCTACTGCTGAACTAAACTTGTAACGCTGTATAATTCTGCACGGCACTGTACCTTACAATCTGTCAGTTGGTTGATAACACCAACATACATAGCTGAAGACTTTATAGGCTCTTTCTGGCTTATAACAATAACCAGACCTAGTCAAGTAAACACAGACTTGAAGTACAATACACTATACATTAGACATTTGTAACAAACTATAAGCCAAACATTCACCACAAATTTAGAGAACCAACTAAGGAACCAAGACCTAGTT